TGAGTGGCTAGTTGTACACTCTTTCCATGGTTGCCTCCTATGGTTGTAATGCAACCATTAGCTGAATGTACTATCAATAAAATCCTGGGTCGCAAGTACTTATCTTAATATTTTTTAAAAAAAAAAAAGATAATAATCACCTATATCATATAACAACCAACTTAATTCTACGGACACGTATCAGTCACATACCCTAAATGTTATGAACACGTACCAATTACTGATCTTAGTTTAGGGTATGTGCAATTTCACATAACTTGTATATGTCCTTCTTAAACTGTATTACTGTAAAAAGTTACTGTCACATAATAATCAACAGTAACTTATACCACTTTAATGTAATATAATACAATTAACAAAATGTAAGAATTGCTTCTTTCTTTTTTTGTGCTCTAACAAAAAAAATTTTTGTGCAATTTTACTATATACTCCACTAGTGCTTAGCTTTATTAGAAACACTAACTCTAACTTAAATGAACTTAAAGATTTTTTAGTATGTTACAAATATTATCACATGACAATAACTCTTTTACTTAAAAATCAGCTATAACTCAAAATCTACATAGAAAACTATCTGCATATTAATAAAAAACTTTTCTTGACCGATTTTACTATTTGAATTCCTATAAAGTAGACCCTAACTCTAACATAACCAAATTTAAAGAATTTTATTATGTATCATATGGGTGTAAAAATTTTGTTAGCACTTCTAGGAAAGATACTTATTTATTACACAAGTGAATTTAAGCATAATCTGTGATATGTACTATGCATATATACATAATTGTATTGATACAAACTTTTAATTAGCAGTCCTACATATAAAGTAAATGGGCATTATGTTGCCATATGCTGTGAGTGAAGTGAGCAGCTAGGAAGTATATCTGCAGTGCTTTTTACTAAAAAATCTTACCTTTTGACAACTTTATTAGATAGAATCATTCAGTGTATGAAAAATGCATAGTTTATTTAATCAACACTTAGATCTATAAAATACATTTGTTTAAATATCTCAAGCCAGTAAAAATTCGATATGTGCCAAGCTTACTTGTTTTGTGCACAAAAAAAAAACAAAAAAACTCAATAAATATACACTTTGCCTACTAAAATTCAAAATTGACAAACTTGAATTTTTTGTACTGTCTTAAACCACAAACTTTAATAAAAAAAGATATATGCCAAATTTTTAAGATTAAATTCTACTTTCAATACTGTGTTATGACCTTAATGTTATTACAAATCTTAACACTAATAGTAATAAGAATGATAATTTATCTAAATCCAACCCTAATCTCTTATATTAACAATCAAATAATTTCGTATAACCCAAAATTATAAACTCTATAACCTAACCCAGAATTGATTCCAACCCAAATAACAATAATTAATAATGATTTGAAAATGCTACGTAGTGATAATACTTACCTGGTATTGAAAATATTATGCTACTTCATCCAAAAAAGATATTATTAGTAAATTATTCAAACTCAAAGGCCTATAACTATTCTTAATATGATTCAGAAATATTGAAAGTTCAAATTAATCTAGTTATAAATGCACATGAATTATACTTGACTATTACAAATTATACCAATTGCAATAAATTATACCATAGCACTATTCTGATATTTATATACATGCAACCCTTGTACGTATCTCATAACTATTCTTGCTGTTTACATGTACATGCATTATAACCTGTCCTACTACATGTGTTACATACATATTTTTTTTTACAATCTTTTATGTTGTCTACAGAATTATTACTATTTGAGTTTGAATTAACGATTGACAAAGGAACTCTCAAATTAGGATCCTGTAAATTAATTGCACTATAATTATGTGCTAGTTCTTTATGGCTTTGCATCTTTGAAGAACTTTATAAACATTTTGTTGCTGGTTGTCCATGATGCTTTATAACTAGAGAATCCATAACAATCACCTCTTCAGGTTGACCAGAATGAGTATCTTCATTGTTAATATTTTCAAGTTCAAACTTTTTTTGGTCAACAAAACAAGTAACCATATTAATCAATTTCTGTTTACAACCGAGATCCAAAGCAGTATTGAGAGCCTTCTTCATTTTTCTAAATCCATTGGCATATCTGATCTTTTTGTTAGCTATTTGTTGACCTTTTGCATTATATACATTAGTATTTCGAATTTGTTCAATAATATGAAGGTCCAGGATGATAATATTTGTAGCCTTTTGTTAGAAGGTCATTGAAATGTTAATGCTTTGTTGTAAACCCAATTCTTTATCTTGCCATTCATCTTAATACCAGTGCCTTGCTACTAACCCAATATGAAACTTTGCTGTTTTGGTGTTTATCATTACTTAAAAAAAATATGCACATATAATACCACAATTGATAAAAGTTATGCAAGTACATAAATGTCCACTATTACTCAACAATACAATATAATGCTTGTAAGCTGATGACAATCCAAGTAGCTTCCAAATCTCAACTATATCATTTGGATTAATATCTTTTATAAGAGCAATGATAGATATTTGTGGTCTATCAAGTTGGTTCTTCAAAAAACTGTTTTCATAATCTAATTGGCTTTACTGAAAGAAAAAAATAACTTTGAATGTAAATTAACACTGGTCAAAATTAAGAAATTCAATATATCGAAGTGTTTAATTTTAGCTAGTGTTAAAACTTATTAAACACAAATAATAAACAAACTTTTAACCTAAAATTCTTGAATATCTTGCTTTGCTCATAGTTGTGCATGGTATAAAAGAGATCCAATAATTTGCCAATATTGTACAGCTAATATGTGAGGTGTTAAATATAACTTTAATATTTCCAATACTTTTGAAAATATTGTCTCAACAATTGATAGTGCTTGATTAGTAGAAAGAGAATTTAGATAGTTATTATGTCGTGACCATTTTGCTTTATTATCTAGGAGTTTCTGTATATGTTGGTAAAGGTTATGCAAAGAAGATGTACTTTTGATGTCGTCTTTGATTAGCTTGTTCATTACTTCAACACATTGAGTACTTTGAATACTTGCTGTAAAAAATTTTAATTGATAATACCATGTCTACAACCTTACACAACCTTGCAATGCTCTATCAAAGTAACTTTGTGCTTGAGGATACTTGTTTAACAAGCATAAACACCTTCTGTTAAAGTTTTCTTTACAAGTACTATTTCGTGCATGTAAAAATTTCTTATAGAACTCTTCAAATTACTTGTCAAGCTTACTTCTTAAATTTTTATGAATATTCTTCTGAATGTAAAAAATATATAAAAAGTGATTCGTTTGAGGTAATTTTAGAGAAATAGTGCTAATTAAAGCAGGTTCTGCATCAGAAAACAAGGAAATTGATGATATATTATTAGTTGCATCCATAATACATTCAAGAAACCATTTATATGACTTTGTAGTTTTATTATTAGACAATGCTTGAGCTACCAGTCAAGACCTTGTATTATTATCAATAACCACTAGAAGTGTAAGATACATGTCAAACCAATTAGTTTGACATGTATTATCGGTCTGGACAACATCGATATAATGGATCAAATATTGTTGTTGCATGGGCGATATCCAAAATAATTCTAATAATTGATTGTCATACAGGTCTAAGCGAATATGAACAATCTAGCCAGGGTTCTGATTTTTAAGCTGCAATAAATAATTGACAAATTGTTGTGCTTCATCATAACATTGATTTAATGGTTTTCTAAACCTTTAAACAAACAATAAATAAGAGGCAAAATAGCCTGCATAAAAAAAAAAAAAGAAAAGAAAGAGAAAAACCTTTGAACAGCATTATATAGGTCACATTTATGTATCATATAATTAGGAAATTGCGCTGTCAAAAGAGATAATATTTGTTTAGATCTCATATTTCTGTTTATAACATAAAATTCTATTTTTTTCAAGATTTCAGAAGATAATATTCTATATTTTGGAGCATATAAAGCAACATCCGGTTGCATTTGGTGATTATGCTCTCCTACTATACTTGTAATAGTTACACATAAAGATGATTTTAGATACAATAAGTTATATGCCATGAACATGAAGACTTTACTGAATTCTTATTATGCTGCCTAGAAATGTCAATAACCTGGTTGCTAACTGCCTTACCAGAACATAAGCACTCAAATGTCCATCACCAAACTTCATCATCTTTATCAGTTGTCACTCATTTTCGGTGCAAAGTGAACCCTATAGCTTTAGTATAACTGTTAAGATATGCTTCAGCTAAATCTCATGCTGAGAAAGAAGTACCCACTGAAAGTTGAAAGTTCTGATCATCATCCAGCTCTATTTTCACAAATAATTCTGTTGTTCTAGTCATTTCACTAGTTACTAACTCTACAGTTATATCATTAGTAGTTTCAAAATCAATCAAAGAGCTACTTGTTGATCCTAAAGAAATTACGCCTAAAACTTCTAGTAAAATATGTTAAAAAATAACTGATAAAACTAAAGCATTTGTAAGAGATAACAAACTTAAATAAGATTATAGTTCACCTTCTATAATGTTTTTTATAACATGTTGGCAAACTAAAAAACAAAATTTAGCAGGAAAAAAAACACTCTAATGAAGCAATAAAGTAAGTATACAGTAAAAAAGTAGGTTCTTTTTGCTAAAAATATAAGGATGTTAGTGAAAGTAACATAATAAAAGAAACATAGCACTAATGATAAGCTAAAAAGACAAATGTAACAAATAAATGTCATAACCAACCAAGCAATGCAGTAAGAGCACAACAAGAATTCAGTTTTTTTTTGAATTAACATCGCTAAAGGTGTAAAAAAAAAGACGGTACTAAAAGAAACATATAAGAAAGTAAGCTAGAGAAAAAGAAGTGAAATAGAAATATAGTAAAGAAAAAAATGCAATATAAAATGCTCAGTAATAAGAAAAAGCAAAGAACGAAAAGATAAGCAAAACATAAATATGATATATTTTAAATCTGTAATTTATGCCAACTCTACAAGGAAAAAAAGTAAAATGAATGTACGTACTTAGATCAGCACATAACACATAATTTAATATGTGTCATCGTGTGTAGATGTTGTACGAACATGACTAGATGATCATTACTACAGGTTATAATAAGTATTTTTCATTAATAAATTTCTACAATTAGAAGAAATATAATCTTTTCTAATCAAAGCTCTACTTAATAAAATAAATACTAAGTTGGAAAGTAATAATACTAACCATCTAACTCAAATAATCAATAATTTGAAACAAACACCAGTACTAATAACTTGAAGTATAATCAATTCTTTTTTTGAAGAAATATAAAAAGAACAAGTTAATTAAATCTTAAAGTTCTTATCTACTCTTGGATATACTTAATATAATCTTAACAAGAAAATTAAAGCTTACTACTATTTGGAACAAATAATCTTTAAGTTTAATAATCCTTCTGAGATTAAAGATTTTATCCAGAATGCTTAAGTAACAAGAAGAGCAAATGATACTTAGAAAAATGCTCTTAGAATATACATAATCATCAAATTATAACTAAGAGAAACAACTCTACAGTTGAAGTATATAACTGCAACACATATTATCAAGTTGCTAGATAATAAGTACATCCAACTTTTTAAATCGATTAAAATATAGAATTTACAGAGTAAATTTTTAAAAAAGACAAAAATGTTATAGAATGAATTATTATTATTTATTATTATTAGTTATTATTATTATTTTATTATTATAACTCTTTCTGTAAATCACTTATATCAAAACTACAAAAAAAACATTTAATTATTTCTTAATATTTTACTAAGTAAACCTTACTTGGCTCTTTAAGTAAAATTATTCAGCATACTTTTTTCCTTCTCGATGGCAATGTTTTAAGTTCCAAAAACATCTGGCTACTAAAAAAGTTTAAAAAACTAAAATTTTTATTTTTGTTTATTTATACAAAATTTTATTAATTAAACCTATTTTCTTATTTATACAAAAGTTGTTTAGCTTATAAGATGAACATTTTGATATATAATTTATTTAAAACAGACCAAAACTCATAGAGATACAAGCAAAAAGCAAAAACAAAATCTTGCTCTTTGCAGACTTTTTCATTGGCATTTTAGAAAAATTTACAGAGTTGTTCCAAAAATTTCACTTTTCTGATATTCATTATAATTTTTTAAATATTCAACCAGCTTATTTGAAGCTCATACACTTTTCCAAACTTTTCTAACTAGTCTAGAAACCTTCATATCAATCAAATTTTTTTGTAAAACATATTTAAAGACTTATTTTTAGAACAAAATGCTAACCTTGACAACAACTGCATCTAATACCATTGATCTTGATTATTTTTACTAAAAGTGTTCTAAAAGCTTTGGTATTAGTATTCTTGAAGATGCAGCAAACACATTATGTCCAATTTCTGCAAATAAGCAACCAAACAACTGTTCAACTACAAAACTTAGAGAAGAAACTAAAAGTTGTCATTACTTTAAAACACCTGAATCTAGTTCTATTATTACATGCATTTGTGGCAAGTTTTATACTTATTTTATCTCAACTACTAACCAAATCTACAAACAACACAAAGTTATTACTATCAACAAAAAATTCAAAAATAAAAAATCTTTAGCAAATAATATTGCAAATTCTATTGCATTTATTTTACTATTCTCTACATCATCACTCTTACCTATTACACACAACCATCAATATGCTAAATGCTACTTGCCTATTGCCTGCAAAGAAATAAATAATTAACATTACTTGGCAGCAGATGCAATTTTACACAATGACAAACCTCATCATAAAACATATGCAAATTTTCAACAACCCTTTTAACAATCAAGTTCTTCTTCTACATTTATCCAAAAACTCTAACAAATAATTAGTTCTTATAGTCCACTAGCATTTGAACTTATCTTTACAACATTACCTGCAAGTTATACTAGCAATTCAAATACTATGGACTTGAACAACAATATAATCAACAATAATAACTAACAATTATCACAATTTAATAAACAATTACAATAACAACCAGATAAACAATAACAACAACTAGATAAACAACAACAACAACCAGATAAACAACAACAACAACCAAATAAACAACAACAACAACCAGATAAACAACAACAACAATAACAACAAACACAACCTAATACTAATAACAACTAACAAAAAACCAAAACCAACTTTACATTTGACTAGATTGCCAACTTCCTTGTTACTGAAGAAATAAAAAATAAATCTCAACTTCAAACAGACTTTGCTAAGAAAATTTTTAATTTTCTTAAACAGTATCTATATAATTTTAGGCTTAAAACTGAAATTAAACCAAAAATTAGTGACTGACCAGCCTTTAAAGCTAGCTTCTACTATATAATCCATAAAATGACAAGAGAAAGACCCTAATTTTTAGTTAAGTTTATTTAAAAAAATAATTCAAATACTGACAAAGCTATAACTATTCTTTTTGATATACTTGAAGAAACTCTTAAAAAACTAATTCTTACATTTACTACTATATTTTTTACAAACTTAACTATCCAAAAATCTTTGTATCATCTGCAATTATTCTTTCTTATACAAGTCCAAATTGATTACAATTTTGTATCAATCTTACTTGCTTTCACTTTTATCTTTTAAACAACTATCAAGCTATCAACTATATTAAATTTGCTGAAAATATTCAAATTAGACCTAAAAGATTTAGAATTTTATTAGAAGTAATAGACTTCAATAAAGAAAAACAATATCTTACAATTAGTTCAAACAGCAAATTTAATATATATCTTAAATTCAATATTTCTAAAATATTCTTTTTACAAAAATTTAATATTTCATCTCTTAAAAACTTACTTGTTTACTTTAAACAGTAGTTTAAACAATTTTTTCTATTATATAATTACCAATTCATTAAACTTATAAATGAAACTAAGGTTTTTAATGTACTTAAATACCAATTTTGACAAACATTCATTCTTCACCTAAAAGAAATTATGCCTTCTAAACTAAACTTTACAAAATTTAATAACTTACAAAAACATTATAATGAAGCAATTAAACACACTAATCATTATATTTTTACTTGTACAGATAGAGGCTGCATCTATTTAGATGAAGCTAAACATACAAAAAAAAAAAAGAAGTCAAAACCAACAATTTTGAGGAACAACTTCAATATTATAAACATTTTTTTTAACTTCTTAATAGCATCTTTTAAAAATTCTATATTGATTATCCTAAACAAAAGAATGAAATTTGGCAACAACCCAAACTTGATCTTTTTTTATTTTATAAAAATAGCAATCATGTGACATTTTTTAATAAACAAATTCCAACAACTTTACTTGACAAATCTGCAACTAAGACAGAAGATTCTGCTTGCAAAACCAATAATGTTCAAACCAATTTTAAATGTTATAACTATTACTTTTATTTATATTTAAACCTTTACCAAAATATTGCAACTTAAAATCATAATATAGATAAGTTAAACAAACAACAGGCAATAGATATTCTTATAACAAAACTATTAGCACTGAATTTATTGCAAGAATCTTGACCTTTTATTATTCTTGTGATAAAACACTTACTTACTCTCAAATTGCAAACTATTTTTAAGAAACAGCCTATTCTGAAGCTAACAAAATTATACAAGAAAAATTTCAAATAAAATATAAAACACCATCCTTGATTACAGAATCTCTTTTTATTGAAGAGACACTTTTTCAATAAACTCATCTTCTACAACCTTCATAAATGCAGCCACCACTTTACCAAAAAATATATTCTTAGTAGTTGATAAGAAAAATAATATAAGTGGGCAAATGGTAAAGCCTATTTACATGAAGGACCAAGTTAATGACAGCCAGACTCAATATACAGGGCAGGCTATAGTATCCTTCACAGCTGTGCGAGCCAAGCTTCAAACAGTAAATGATTCTGTAGAAGACAACTCAACCTCTCAAGTTTTTGCTTCCAACACTTCACTTCTTGCAGAAACAAATATATGCTACAACAAATTTTTACAATTACACAATCTACCCATTATATATAATTTTATAACACTTGGAAACTTCCTATCCTATCTTCAAAAACACTCTTTTAAAAATAGCTTCAAAATATTTATCAACCAAAACAAAACTGAGTTACATATATATACTAACCTTTCTGATCCTACTTTGCATGAACATTATACTATTCAACCTTTTTAATATGAAATATACAAATATCTACTTTTACTAACAATATCTAATAATACTTTATCTAACATTCACTTAGTCTCACTTGATCAATTGTTTTTTACAGATCCATTTTCTGAATCTTTATCTATACTAATTACTTCTATATCTAATCATACAGCTAATAGATCCAAGACTCTTTCTTAACTTATATTCTTTAATACTTATATCATACAACTTACCATCTACTTACCAATAAAGAAAACATCTACATCTATCCTATATAAACCATTACATTTATTGATATATAC